TTTTAAAATAAGCGGGTAAATAGTCTGGCAGCTGATATCCTTGCAACGTTTTCTCTTTGGGATTAATAAAAGTTAAGTTTGTGTTAGCTTGAAGAAATGGGTCATCTATTGGTGTCTGCAATATATTAATGTCTCCATTTTTTCTTACTTTCGGTGATTTTGCGGCGAAGGTTCCCTGCTTTTTAATTGGCGCTTTACAATGGAAACGTTGCTTTTTACGATCCCGCTTATCCTTGCAGTGCTTTATGGATATTTTGTACTTCTTAGTTAGTAACTCAAATGAATCAGTTGAGAATTGTCTAAATTTTGGTTCCGCTGTGAAATATTTAACAAATTTCTTACTTAGATAGTTATTAAATTTTTATGATAATTATAGTAAATACAATATATATTTTCCGCACTAAAGAAATTGGATTAATTCTCAGTGGCATATTCAGGTTTGTGCGAGGGAGGAAGAAATATTAGTAAATATTTTTTTGGCACTGTTATTTAATTATTATTATATATATTATATTTGAATTATATATATTGTTGGGAGAGCGGAAGAATCTGTTTCTGAACCATCTCTACCCTGAATACACCACCGGTACTACTGATATAATAATTAACTCTTCTTACCCTTGACTTTTGCAATAGTTTTATCTTTTTTCAAGGTATTGGGTTCTGCGTCTACAAATTCATCGCTATCAAATGATATGACTGTTGTAGGAAAACCATTAGCTATTAAATAGTCCAAAAATTATATCAATATAAAGTAATATAATTTAAAGAAATATATTATATTGAACAAATAAATGTTTATATGATGTCAGAATATGCTTGCCTTTCTTAGTTGTCTCTGAAGTTTTGAGTTGTGAAGTTTGATTTTTAATTCCAACGTTGTTTGGATCCTTACTTGGCCAATATCTGTGCCGACCTGGTATTTGTTTTTTAGACAAATCAACATTTGCGATATGTTCTTGTATGATACGGTGTTTCTCATAGAATTCTTTAGAATTTATTAATTTAGTTTTACGTGGAGTAGGTCGAAAAGTAATAACGACTTCCTCAATATCGGACTCTGAACAACAAGTATCAATATCAATATTGCACTTCACCATGATAATTTCCCTTCTTATTGCATTCACAGAATGATTTTGACATGTATCAGTTGATTTAGATCACTCCAAAATATATAGTAAATTTAATCTCGGCAAAGGAAGAACCCGAATCAAAATTAATCTCTCTACAAAACAAATTTAAATTTCAAAAAAATTAAAATATTTACGGTTGTAATAAAACGAAATTGACATATCTAAAAATATATGAAATTTTGTTTTTAAAATAAAAAAGTTAGATTTAACAAGTAACTAGATAAATAGGTATCGAGTGAAGAAATTAAGTCATATTTTTTTTAAATTAGATAATGATGCAGTAGTTTGTCTACAAACGATATAGAATTGTGTGATATGCTAAAATTACATTTCCAACTATAAGAAATTAATCTCAAACACTCTAGAATTGATTCTTGAGATTAGACCCTTGCCAACTTAAGTCTTGTCACGTAGTCTGAATAAGTATTTGGAACTTATTATCTATACTTATAGGAGATAAAAATATCCAAGCACTTTAAAATTTCCTATGCACTTTCCTAGACTTGGCTTCAGAACAAACAGCTTTTTACTGCAGTGCTTCTTTGACAATTAATCACACTGTTTGTAGGTCAAGATGAAAAATCTTTTAAGTACTCATACTAGTCTGCATACGCAGAGACACTCCGAATTTCATTGTGGAAGTTTCACGAAGTTGCAGTCGGTCATGTGCTTATCCAAGTTTGACTATCAGTAGAGCACGGTTTTTTACTGAAGTATTTCTTTGACAGTCTGTCGCACTGTTTATCCGTATGGATGACGATCTGTGAAATTACTGGCGTACACCAGCAGAAAAACTCTGATTTCTGTTATTTATTGTGGAAATTATGGAAACCCACAAGAGAAATAAAAAAAAATAAGTATTTCTCCTATGCTTCTTCTTATGTTTTAGCTCTCATAAAAACAGCTTTTTAGTGAATAATATCTTTGAGAATTTGCTGGACTGTTCATCAGCAAGGACGAAAAATTCATTAATTTATTTAAATTAATATTCTTTTGTCTAAATGTATTAGTAAAACTGCAAATAATCGCTTTTCAATGGTTGTAGAAGAATATCCTAACACTGACGGATCTCCATCTACTCACCTGATACTGCAATCTAACAACTATTTAATTTTTTGTAAAATTAAACATTATATAAAAATTAAACATTTTAATTATAAAAGAATAAAAAAAACTATATATTATTATAATGTAAACATTTTTACAAAATTTTTTCCAATTATCCCAAATTGAAAATTCATGTCTCCTTGCAAAAAATTTTAAGTCGATTTGTTTCAATATTGAAGTATGAATAAATTATTTTTAAAATAATTTTTTATTTATTTTTATTATTTCTGAAACTTAATACAGTTATAAAATAAATCTTTTTTAGAAAATATTTTTTACTTATTTTTATATATTTGGAGTTCAAGACAGCTATATTAAATTAAATTAGTTTTAAAATAATTTTATATTTATTTTTTTTATTTCTGGAACTCTTGAAATTGGTGACGATAAATGAGTATTTTTAAATAATTTTATATTAATTTTTTAATTTCTGGAACTTCAATATTTGAATATCGTGAATGAATTATTTTTAAATAATTTTTATTTTATTTTTTCTATTTGTGGAACTCTGAAATAGGAACATGAATTAATTATTTTTTTAATGGATTTCATGACTTTTATTATTTCTGGAATCAAAATATCTAACATAAACTGATTTATTTTAAAACTAATTTTTTTTTTTTTATTTCTGGAACTCTGAAATAGGTACATAAATGAATTATTTTTTAAATAATTTTTCATGTACTTTTATTATTTCTGGAATTTAATGCAGCTATATAAAAGAATATTTAAAATAATTTTTTATTTATTTTTATTATTTTTGCAATTCAAAATAGCTAACATAAATGAATAATTTTTAAAATAATTTTTTATTTATTTTTATTTATTTTTATTATTTTTGGAATTCAATACAGCTATATAAATGAATTATTTTTAAAATAATTTTTTATTCATTTTTATTATTTTTGCAATTCAAATTAGCTAAAATAAATGAATTATTTTTAAAATAATTTTTTCTTTATTTTTCTTTATTATTATTATTTCTGGAATTCAATAAAGCTATATAAATGAATTATTTTTAAAATAATTTTTTATTTATTTTTATTATTTTTGCAATTCAAAATACCTAACATAAATGAATTATTTTTAAAAAATAATTTTTTATTTATTATTTTATATTTCTGCAATTCAAAATAGCTTTTTAATTACAATAATGAAATTATGTTTAATTCAATGTTGGTTTTGAATGTTTTTGATTTCGAAGTTCTTTATTCGATTATTTAAAATTCAAAAATAGTTTGTGTATCGCATATTAAGTGAATTATTTTGTAATTTGACATAAAATTTGCTTTACGCATACATAAATCAAGTTTTCATTATCTGTCAATGTCAATCTCGACATTTGGTGAGATTAGTACGAATCAAAATGAAACTCGAACTGGGAATGCGACCAAATAACCACAGATACTTCTAACAAAAAGTTGCAATCAAAGGATGATTTTAGTTGAAAATTTAATTTTAATCCATAAAATCGCTGCAATTCGTGTTTGTACTACAAATCGATTTGGAAAGTATAGAAAAATGGCGAAATTCCCGCTGAGGCACAGATTATTTATTATCAGTTAAATAATGAGATAACCAAAAATCAGTGTAACTGTCAATATGTCATAAACTGCTTATCGCAAAAATAGCATATAGCTGACCTAATGATATCCCCGAGAGTTCAGATACATCATAATTCCCATGCAGTACGAGTAAAAACACAAAGAAATATACGAAATGAATTCATTGGCAAATAAATTGAAATATTTTTCCAATGAAACGTAATAAAGCCAGAAATTAATTAGTTAAATATTTCCGTAAAATGATTTATGCCCTTTTCGGTTCGCATATTGGCATACGAATTAAAATTGGCTTAAATATTTTGTAGCACATTTTGTGAGTTGGTAGTAAATTTCATTTATTGCAAATTTATGTGTTAAATTAATTAAGAAGGTTTGTTTTTTTTTTCTTTATTAAAATCAATTTCAGCTGTCAGCTTTTAAAACTGCAAGAGTGAAACTCTTTACGAATCAACTCGGAAGATAAATGAACCTGGCCAAGTCAACACATAACAAACGATTCCAACAACAAATGAGTAAACAAAGCAATCACGGTACCTCTTCAACATACAACCTCCATGTACATCCTCCATGTATCTATATATACATATAAGTGTCTATATATGTGAATATATAGATGTGTAGTTGCAGTGTTACTTGCACGTTTCTGTTCAAGAAATTCCTTCAATGCAATAAAATTTGCACCAAAAAAAGGACATCAACAAAAGTGCTGCATACTAAGTTCACTCGGAATGGCTT